CGCGGGGAAACGTCATGCCCAGTGCCAAAGAACAGACTTTGTCTTTAGGTCTAAACGTATCGTCCTTTATGTTGTTCCTGTATTTATATTTTACCCCTACCAGCACGCTCTCCACTCCAAGTATTTATTTATTTATTTATTTATATACTTAAGGACTCCCATAGGGAGTATTGCATAAGGCGTGGCATACAATAAACATCAACAAAAGAAAGGTACAAATGTCACAAAAGCAAATTATGCATGTAAAATAGAACAAAATCGACAAGAAGATTAGTATGCCAACACAAAAAAACACAGCAAAAATATCTAGAACGTGATTGCACGTACTAATTCTTCAAATTCTAATGAGTCATGAGTAGTTACAATGTTCTGGGAGAGCCCGTTCCTATCAGAGGCTGTACGTGAAAAAAAAAATGAGTTGTGAAATGTGGTGTTTCTTGCCTTTGGTCGCTGTACATCGAGAATGTGACCCGCGCGACGGTTGCGGCATACAGAAATAACGATGTATGACAATCGGAGGAACGGGCTGTAAAACATATTGTGAAAAAGAGACAACCTAGTTAAACGGCGGCGTTCAGAGAGGAGGCGGAGGGTGGCACGGTCTCGAAGAGACCTGACGCTAGTTAAAGAATAATAATCTGAGAAAATAAAACGTAATGCTCGACGCTGAACTGATTCGATGTTATTGATGAGGTAGGCTTGGTGCGGATCCCAGATAGCAGATGCGTATTCCAGTTTAGGGCGGATAAGGAATGAGTAGGCAAGTTTCGCCTAAAAAAAACCTAAGGAGTGATTAGCAGAGGATATGGTGTGACTGATATGAATAGCCCAGGAAAGATCGGATGTAAGATGAACTCTGAGGTACTTGTAGGATTTAGTTTTAATTAAAGTTTTAATCATAATTACCATCCCCGTCATTCGCCGAGCCCTTCCGTAGACCGAAGCGATATGCTTTCAGAAGTGCTCTGCGGGAGAGCAGACACTACAGGTATCTTGGATTGTAGTTATGTGTCGCCCAAGCGTTACAGTAAGATATTCGAACTGGTAAATTGATTTGGGGTACGTCTGTCCATCATGTCTCTACTTGAAGTGTATGCTTACTTTCTGCTTCAAAACAGAATATATATATATATATATGTGTATGTGTAGGACACATAGTGATGAGGCATGTCGTCGACATAGTACAATAGGAGTCGCCTACAATCACGTTAAAGTTGTGCCCGTTGTAACATCTGACTGTACCCAAGTTCTATAAGCGGAAAATCGGGAAACTTTTGATGTTAAAAACAAAACAAGAATCATTTATATGCAAATATATCATAGATAATATTTTTTGTTTGTTCTATGGCTGCCCTGCCCAGCGCTGCCATGAGAGCAGTGTCGCGTCTTTGTGATCCACTGAAAAACATGGAGGCATATTAATCATTGTCGTGTCGTGCGTCGGACCTCTACTCCAAGGGGATATTCTCCGTTTTTTTTTTTTTTAAGTCGACTTCTTTCAAAACATGAAACAGGCGGGTAGCAAGCTAATTAGGAATTAGCCTTTTTCTGTTCATATTTTCTTTTTGCTATTTTGAAGTTTATACACAGCGTTTCATGGTTTAAGAATCTACGAAACTCACTAAACCCAGCTCTAGGCGTAACTGCGACGAACATAATTTATATATTATTCGTTTTCACAATGAAGTTTTGAGTAGGTCGAAGGATCATTATCACAAGATACTTGAGGGGGGCGGAATACGCGACTTATAATAACACTGCGTGGCATGTAAATTTATCTTTATCTTGGACTTGTTCTTTGCATTGTTTAGATTATCTCGGCCGCTCTGTGGTGGCGTTGCCTGCAGACGACAGGCCCGGAAACTTTGCGAACACTTATTTGGGAGTACTGTAGGCAACACAGCCTAAACTTAAAACAAGCCGTGTTCACATTTTTCTCGGTATTAATAAACGTCAGGGCGCTGAGCGTCTGACCTTATTATTAATACAAATATTATAGCAAATGTTGAGGTGCCGAAGCACTGATACTTATCTACTGTCAACGGCGCGGGGCGGGGGAGCCCGAGGTACGATATTAGGGAGTTTTAGAATAACGTACGCAATTTTAGCGCACGCTAGCGCTAGATTTAGCGCTTGCGTTAGCGCACGCTACGCAAGGGAGTTTCAGAATAGCGTTTCTCCGCCGCGACGCAAAAGCCTAAGCATCTCGCGCTTGCAACGCCACCAAGATAGTCACAATTTTTATTTCACACACGAAATGCTGTAACTTGAGAGAAAAAAAAAACTAATTTTTTTTTTTTTTTCTCTAGAGTAACAGTTCATATTTATTTAAAAATGAGAATGCGACACGAGCGGTCGACCGATCGTGTCCGCCTCCATTGCCTCGGCAAGAAAGGTCTCGTATACTGACCTTCGCCCACCTTACCTTCGCCGAGAAATGTTCGCGCGTCGCAAGCATCAAGTTGCCGGTGATCGTTTCCGACGTTATTGGGTTTTCCGAACCGAGTGCAATGTCGTCCCGTATTGAAGATCGCAGTCGCGATGATGCCGCCGACGTCGCGCTCACGACACCACCAAAGCGGCCGCAGCCTTGGTCCTTGGAACCGCCATTTTTTAACCCTGCTCGTCTTGGTTTTCGCCAACTTGTCATTACGAATCCACCTTAGAGGAGCGAAAAGACTGCGTACGCATGCAATATCCGAAAAATAGCGCACGCAAAGCACAAAACCTCTCTAGCGTTTGGCGCTTGCGCGGTGGCGACGACGCTATTCTTTGCGTACGCAAAGCTTCAGCGTGCGCTATTCTCAAACTCCTTAATATATTGAGAATCATATATGTACAGCAGTAAGAGCTGCACTTGATTTCACCTTAAGTAGAAGCGCAGTCGAAGGCTACAAGACGTGAAAACGTAGGCGCACAGGAACAGCATAACTCAAGATAAGAACACATTTGTTGTGCACTATTGGTTTGGCTGCTGATAGCACATTCTTGAAAATACGACGCAAGTCGTGACGTTGCGCTCTTGACGGTGCTTGATTAGTTCAATCGAATGATGGCGTCGGCTCCGCTCTGGGCTATGGCGACTCAAGGATACTCGCACGCCACGCACCAAGAACTCCTTTGTTGTGGTGTAATTTCAAGGAAAAAACGAGCTTTTTCATTCTCTCTCTCCTTCGCAAAACTTGATTACCTAACTGGGGTGTCGCGGTATCCCGCAGTGACGATATTTGAATTCAGCTAATAGATTGGACCCGAGCATTGCGTGAGCGCTCGACTTGGGCTCGTGATAATCGATAGCTCGACAAGCATTCGGTTAGTGGCCCGTGTCCAATCGCTGCAATAACGACCATAGCCGAGCTATAAAGATGTCTGAAAATCAGCGCGTGTCCTATGCTTTGCCAACCCCAGCGCGTGGCTATGATTAACATTGACAGCATATATACTAGGCTCCAGATCACGTGGCCAGTTATTCTGGCCGCGAGTTAGGGGGGTGAACGCTGCTCGTTTTTGAGTAATTTTTTCTACGACTTTGATTTCGTGTGGTGAAAAACGAACGGGTATTTAACAGGTCATTAACATCAAGGATTCGTTCTAAACGGTATTTGCGCAAAGTACACGAATAGCTGCATCGCCCCTTTAAGTCTGATCTCTATCAAGAATAAGAGCCAAAGGGGTCAATCAAGCTTCCTCGAAAGCGATAGGTCGCTACAAGTTTCGCGTTCCTACACTTGTTACCGCCAACTGATCCAATCACGAGCGAAGAAGGAGTCGTGACTTCACGTTTTTAGTTTTTGCGTTCGTGTTTGCGTTGAAGCTAGTTTTTGCCCCGCTTTGACCTAAGATGGAACGGAGTATGTTACCGACGGCACCTACATAAAAGGCCTTTCCACTGTTCCTTTCCACAGCTCTAAACGTAACACCATATGTCCGTACACCGCTGGCTATTGGCTGCGCCAACACGGTGACGCGAATATACTAAAAGCGAATGACGGAACGTGGTCACATTGACCGTTGACGAACTATTTGTGTGACGTCATGGGTGAGGGTAAGCAGACCGTGTCCGTGTCTACACTCCAAGAAATCTCGAATGCCCGCTTTCCCGCAAAACATTTTGTACAGCCAATTGCTGCTCGGTGAATGACGAAAATCAAAATACGCTTAATCCGCAAAAAAAAAGAAGAAAAAGTTTTACTATTTTTTTACTGTTTTTTTTTTTTTTCATCTATCCAGATCCATCTACTGTGTCGCTGTGTGCATGTGTAATATTTTTTTTTGTTTTTTTGTTTAGATACCTTCAGCAGAGATCTCCTTCTCCTTGTGTTTTGCTTCGCTACCTGCCGTAATGAATAACACTCTGGCGTAAGTCTCAGGGGCTTGCGTGCCTGGCTCAGGCACGCGAGGCCATGATGCTTACGCCGGCTCGTAACTGTAGGTTGAAAACCTATATGTTAGAAATAGATCTATTCCGTTCTATATTATATTGATTTGTTCAGCGACGTTCCACTATTTTGAATGCCGAGCAAGTCTTAGTTTTAATATGCGGAAACGCAGGGCCAGGCTTTGGCGGACGGCTTTTCCTAGGGCGCATTTCGTTCTTGGGCTTGCACCATGTCCGCTGGTTTTTCGCCCTTATCTGTACTGGTTTCTAACACGTTAATCGGGGTCCACTGTTCCATGGAGGCCAGCGGCTGCGCGCCGTGTCGGATGGCTTTCGCTCGACTTTTTCGCGGCTTGAAATCAAGCCCTCCATCTTCCGCGTTTTGTGTTCTTGATGTCGCTTTAATTTTATTAATAAGTACATCAACATACTCGTCGAAGAAGTCTGGCGATATTTGCTGAAATCAATCCGTAATGGCGGGATGAGCCTCAGGGTTCGAGGTGCTAATTAGTTTGCGGAATGGAAAACTGCATGTTTGAGGCTGTAGTCTGTCTTTCTTTCGAAGAAGTTTATTTTGGATTTTGTTTCATTTGCTTTTGTTCTTTTTTTCTCTTTTTTGCAGGTCGTCACCAGTTCAGTCCTGACGGAGAAAGGTGGGACTAGTTTTACTTGTTGGATCGGGTCTATTTTTCTCGTTAACAAATCTCTCTAATATAAATAAGAAAAATAAATTTTGCATCTATGGACGGCGAGTGCATAACAGGTTTTAAGATATCGCTTTTATAACTGCTAACTCAAGACGTCAACTGTAGGGCACACCGTATCGACCATTCTAAGGGGTGGACGGCAAAGAAAATGGCGCCGCTCTCGAGTCGCTATTTTATCAATAGGCATTCTACGTGTCTTTTTTGAGTGTCCTACGCGCAAACAAAATCGATTTTGAAAAAGAGAGGAAAAACAGCGTTTCTATATTAAACACCGATCTAAGATGATTCAAAGGAAATAGAATCAATCCTCTAACGGAAGGGGTTGAACCGATTGTTCACAAAACGCTATAACGTGGCAAGATGTCACTATGAAAGAAAACAAAAAATTGAAATACTAGTGTGAAAGTCAGTTGGTTAAAGGAGAGAGGGGGTTTGGAAATCTCGACAATTACAGCCGACTTCCTGCGCCCGATTACAGCCTGATAGGAGACGTCCTTAAAGTGTCCGAGGTTGAAGGCTTCGACACCTTGGCTGCGATTTGCCCCAACCGATCATGCGAGCAGACAAAGACGAAATAGAACTCGACAGACAGAAACAGAGGCTCGACGAAAAGAAATGAAGAGAGCGAAGATTGTTCCTTTCCACGGGAAGGTCCTTACGTTTACGCTTTGTTTCCTTCTTTATGAAGGTAAATTTTCACTGCCTTTCACCTTAACGTGGACCGCACAGAAGGCCGTTACGGTCGAGCATGCTAAAAAAGAAACCCTCTGTCAAGCCTAACACGCAGCACTTCAATGGCTGAGCCGACAGGGGGGCGGGACCAAGCGGCGGATTCTTGGCAGCTGATTGGCTGACTTGGCTTTGAGACCGCGTCGTAATGCAGACGATTGTGAACGCGTGATTAACTCAGCCAGTCTTCCATCCTCAGCCTCGCTCCATCTACGGCAGAACGAAGGGCAGACAAACCGTGCGTGCCGGAGCTCGATATCATTAAGGAGCGGGGGCAAACACAAGCAGAAAAGGACAGACAGGGGCATGTGCTCTCCACTTGAGAACCCCCTTCTGCAACTTCCCATTCTCTTCGAAGTTTCTATTTTTTTTGTGTGTGTTTCCACGTTCGGCAGAGCAACCGCTGCCCGAAAGCGATTTCCCTAATCGCAGGTCCATTGGAGAAAAATCTCGTCGACTTCACATTCAGATGAGTCATTCGTTCAAGCGGCGCGAGCTTAGAACGGAAACTAGTTTCGGCATATTGGGCTGAGTGGGCGACTGGAGGGAGACAAAGCGAGAAGAGAGAAAAAGGGAAAGACCGCCACAGCGAAATGTGCAGTTTATAACGAGTTTTTCCCCTTTTATAACGAAATTTGGAATATATTCTTCTGGTTCAATACGTTGCATTAGTCGCTCCATAAAAAAATAGGGAACGGAATGAACCAAACAATTGAAAACGCTCGCGCACGTTTTGCCTCCTTTTTTATATATCTTATTAATACCTGAGAAATAGCGAACTCTTCAGGAAAAAAAAAAAAAGATTCTGTCTTTGCGCTGCCTATACAATTCTCGATTCGAACAAGTGGGAAGCCTCAAAAAGAATATATCGACTTTTAAGCGTTTCGAGATTATTCTTTCCTTGGCTGCAATAATTCTCTGTTATTCTTGATTGTATTCCTATTTTATTTAATTCGATAAGTGTTTTTTTTTTTTTTAGCTAGTGGCGCCTTATTGCAAAATGTGAAATGAGTTCTTGTGTCCGATTGAAAACTGCCGAAGCTAGCTGATTTCCTTCGAGGGTTCGACGATTGATTCGTCATACACATAAAAAAAGAACTTAGTTATCATTTTTTTTTTTGTTTTATTCTCTCAAAGTTTCCTTATTAGTTTTGCGGAGGCACCGCTTCTTTCTCAATCGATTTGTCAGCGAAAATGCAACCTCTTATTTTTTTGCTTCGATTTGTTTGAAACTTTGAACTCCTTTAAATTTAATTACGAGTAGGAGCAGTTCAACTTTTGTTAGTATGTTCGTTTTCATGGAGCCAATATTAAAGACTGCCAATTTCGTCGACCTTCGCTTGTCCTTCCCCAATTCTAAAGGTCGGCGCTTCTGTCGTAGGAGCATGCGCAGATCGCAAAAACGAATTCACGTGGCGAACTAATGTTTTGGTCCTCCGTCTGGTGGCATTCGCATAAAGTCTGCTATATAGGAAGACACCGTAGACAATTTCCGACTTTGGTTTCTAAGTAACAAAATTTAGGGTTGCGAAACAAATTATGAAGCTGAAATATTTCCTGTTCGTACATCTAGAGAGATATGACATGCGATTAGCCAAGATGTATTATCTCACACCGTCGCCTAGATTCATCGCCAACCACAAACTTGGAACCCACTTCAGGTGTCTTCAGGCATAGCTTCCTGAGTGACTCTGGGATGTTTAGTCTCGGATATTTCATCAAGTATCTAATTCTTTTTTAGTGCAATTGCTACTATGTTTTAATGACCATAAAGCCTCTCTGGCAGAGGGAGGGGGAAGGGAAGGGGGGAAGGAGGGGGGGGGGGGGGGGCGACGCCTTTTGGCCACTGAGCCCTCATGGTAACCATGAAGTGATATCGCTCTCCCGTCGCATTGAATGATTTGATGCAAGCGAAACCAACGATTGATGTTCCGAGTGCACCGCGGGGCTGTATCCGCGCAGGAGCTTCCGACGAATCAAAATCTGAGTCGCGCACTCATCATTTCGTGCACGTCTTTGTGTGCAGCGACTTGGGCAGCGCGGGCTCGCAGGGCACGCCCCTGACCGAGAAGGTAAAGCCCGGCGGCAACGGCGCCATTCCGCCGGACGCTCTGTACACGTCGGCAGGCAAGGCCAACGGAGCCAACACCAACGGAGCCTCCAAAGGCACGTCCAGTACCGAGAACCCGCAGTACGAGAACATGAAGGTGAGGACATCGCGCAACCTTCTGACAGATACTTTAAAGATTACTCGATACTTGGCCGGGAAGCAGTTCCCGGTTCCTTGCCATGACCTCCAAGTCTACTGCGGCGACAGTTGTGACGTCAGGTGACATCACAACTGTCACACTTTATCTTCACAATATCGTGACAGTGTGAATCGCCGCAAATTAATGTAGTGGAGAAATTTTCCCGCCCAATTTCACGGACCACGACGCACCTGCATGAAACACACGCAGGATGCGCTGCGAAACCTCTTCATTAATGACTATTGCCTTAAAAACAAATGTCGTTGAGCATCTTCCGACTCTGGCTGTTTCAACCGGTACTTGGCAGCACAGTAAAGTAGTACTCGTTTTCCAAACGCGGGTTACCATTCTGGGCAAAGAGATATTTCGAATGCGCAAGGGGTATATGAAGCGAAACAGTCAACCCTCGTAAAACGTCGCAATACTTAATAAAAAGAAAGTGTGGTTTTGTTTTCGTTTTACCTGCGGTGATACCATGGCCGCTTTTTGGACGTTAATTTACTATGACACATAATTGTCGGAAGAGCTGCGATTTGGAAATTCATCCAGAGGTTTTCTGCTTACGAGGATTGGCGGAAAGTGGGGCGATTTGGATGTGCGACATCGTGCTCTATAATCGCTGCATTGAGCGAATAATTTTCGTGCCACTTGCTCTACAGTCGCGAGACTCTGTATAAGCCGTCGAGTGAAGTTCCACAGGCTGTGTGGCACTACGAAATTTTCCGCCAAAGTACGTATTGATTCTAGAAAAAGAACCAAGGAGAGCTTATGTGACGTCAAAGAACCTGCAACTACTGTAAAGAAATAAAATAACAATTCTTTTGATTCGCCTGGTTCTAACTGACTTTTAAAGTTGAGCGCAGTTGTGACTCTTAAAATATTTTGCTATTCTGGCCTGATTCTGTACTTCGTTTCAGCTTAAGTCCAGACGCAGCCGATGCTACAAGCGCGATCATGTGGCCCAGAACATTGCTTCCACTGTACGAGCGCCTGTGCTTTGAAGGGACGCTGAAAGCCCGGAGTTCGCGCTTATGTGGCATCGGTTACGTCTGGACTTCAGCCGAAACTAAGTACACCCCTTCCCGGAGTTGTCCAGCTAGGACCCTTCGCAGACTTCGTGCTGTGCTGGTGTTTCTGTACTGCACGCATTTAGCGTTTTTTACTACTTAAAATGCTTGCCCCTCTTATCACCGCCTCCCCCCCCCACGCACACACATCGCTTTGTGATATTCCGGTTCTACAGTCTCGGGCACAATATGTCAATGTTTCTTCATCAGCTCGCCCGAGAACGCAGCAATCATTTCAATTAAAGTACCGTTTTCGTTTTTGAAAATGACCGAACATCCTAAAGGGCAAATCAGACATATGTTTAGGATGCTCGAAGTATTTTCTTGCTCGTATGTGCCTACGTAAAAAGCTGTTTAAATTCTAGATGAAATCACCTCATATCCCAAGTAACCTTCACTGTTCACCTGTAAGATTTCGAAGACGGGTTGTGCAATGCTTCGACCTCGTCTCGCGTTGCCAATGCTCCTATATGTGCCCGAGTGTGTGCGCGCATTTCCTTTTCGTCCGTCTTATATTTAGCTTCTACACGCTTTCGAAATTTAGCTTTAACGAACAACCGTAGGGCGCTGGTGCAGCAGCTTCCGATGGTTTACGAGGACTTTTTCGACGGGCTTAACGCAACGCCCGAGGGCGTGACAGAGTGTAATCTGACAGCTGTTCGCAAAGCTCGGGTGTATGAGCTCGTTAAAATTTAACAGGCGAAGGGGAAGTCGCGTTTGACAGCTTGACGTTTATGTCAGAGAGCTGCACCGATACTTAATTAGAGGGAGAGGCTTGCCTTTTCTTTTCATCGAATATTCCTAAAACCGAAGCTTGTGGAGTTTTTTTTTTTTTTTTTCGTTAGCCGTTCACCGTACGACTTTGACACCAAACACTGTGGTATAAGAAGCCCGGGTATAGACGTAGAAATAACTTATGGAAAGCCCAGCGGAACCCTAAGGATAGACTTCTGAAAAGGCCAGGGGTGACTTAAGAGGCTTGGATTCCTTGGCCCTTAGGTAACTAAACTGTAAAAAGGCGTCTGTGAGTTGCGCTTTCTGCAGGACACAAGAGAGCCAATAAATGCGAAAAAAAGATGTAGTGAATTACGTAACTCAAAATACGAATAAACAACAAAACTTCGATGCTCGCAGGTACAAGGAGCAAGTGAAACTTCGAATCGCTGTCCCTTTGTCAGTGGTTTAGGCGTTACCGAAAAAAAAAAAGGAACGAAATACGTTACGCGTTACTTGCAAATAAAAGGAACACGTGACTGACCTACATTACCTCAGAAATAAAAGAAACGGGTTACAGTTACCGTTAGCGATAAATATTAACGCACGTTACCTTGTTAATTATTAATTAGAACGTTTTACTCTTCTGACGTTACAGGTAAGTGTAAGCGCGACGTATTTCTAGAAACGTTATATCCATCCAGACCAGGGTGTAACATAGAGAGGTGGGGAAACGGCCAATAGAAGCCTACCGCAGCGCCGTGACCGGATTGTGTACTCGTCTGTTTGCGGGTACCCCCGATTTGCGACAGATGGCGCTGCGGCGAGAGGAAAAAAAAATTGGAATCGAATGTGCATGGAACTTTATGGGAGAGTGCGCAAAATAAACCGAGAGCATGACAGTCCTCCATTGAAAATCCACGAGAAATCATTTCCGTCAGTTTAGCCGGTCGCCACCGGTCGCCCACCCGGAGTGAAAGTTCGCGGTGCTCCACATAGATGGCGCCACAGAAAAAGAGAAAACCGACGGGGACGCAATCCGGTCGCTCATTTGGCTCTCGTTTCCCCAACTGTCTATCTTACACCCTGATCCAGACACTGAATATATTTACCCTCTCTTTTTTACTGTTCCGCCCAAAATACTCACGAGAAAACCGGCAAAGAATAGCGCAAAAAACTTCCAAATTTATACGGCTTCGCGGCTAAAAGCACGAAAAAATTAAAGTGAAATATTTTTAAATCTTGCGAACAATACGTAACGAGTAACGTAGCTGCGCTACATGTTGCTCGAAGTACGTAACGTAAGTACGTTACCCGTTCCCGTTTTCAAAGTGTAACGATTACGTTCCGACATCACCGGAAAACCTAACGTGTTATCGGTAACGACGTTACTTGTAAGGTGTTATCGCAAACACTGCGCTTGCGCACACGACATGTTTTGCTCTTTAATCGTATTTTCAGCTACCTCAATCTACAGGACCATTTCCTTGTTCGCAGCGACTGGCTAACCTCCGCGTTCTGCAGAAAATTGAACTCCCCGACTATTTTTAGGGTCGCTTTGTATAGACCCCTGTTCCAGAGATTCTGTATTACGTCAGATTTCTAATGTTCTGCAAATATACCACAATGAACCAGAGCGGAACGTTTGGGGACTGCTTCGATCAGGCTCGTCGTGGAGAGATTCTGACGGCGGCTCCTATCGAACCGGCGGTCTGTTTGCGGCTGTTCGGCGCGAGTAAGCGCGTTGTTCCCGCGGCTAATGGCCAATTACGCGCAACTAATCGCCGCACTCGCTTATCTTTGGGGACCTCGTTACGGCATTCACCATGCGGGCCTCGACTCTATAAAGACGTCGGCAAACTCGTCTATTGGCCGCATCCCTTTCGATTCGCCACTGTGTTTTCTGAGCTTTGTCTAGAGCAGTGCGATGGTAGGGCGCGTTGTGTGCCGCGTGGAAACAGTGCAGTCTATCGCATCGTCAAAGACATAGGGTTTAAACGATTGTTAAGGCGGAGTCAAGGGCGAGTCGGTGGTTCGCTGTAAAGTAACGGACAGCTTAAAAAACGGAGGGCATGGCTCCTTGTGCTTACGCTGCTTGCTTCGCTATTCGGCGCTCGTATCGGCTAACGATGCAGTATCATTAGCTGCAGAGCTATAATTAAAGGTTCGGGACACACCACGCCGTGCGTTTCTTAAACTGCCGGAAATTGCAGGAAGCAACAGCGCGAAAGTACGAAGAACTCTAGACTCGTGAAACATAGAGTTGGAAGCGAAGGCGATTGGACATCGGCGAAAAGAAGCGCGGCGTCATCGTCGGAAGAGAAGCCTTTTTGTGGCACGCTCCGCGAAATTCGGCCCCCACTGTTTGACGAGTCTAGCGCTCCAGGACAACAAAATAGGCGTACGGAAAGATAACCAAGGGCTTCTTCGAAAGCTTCTTTTACATGAGCGTATAATTTGCAGGGTCAGCTCTTGCGCTTTCGGTTCCGATTTGGGATGTGGCATCGATAGAGCGCGCAGTCGCCGATTCCACGCTCCACGTACAGTAAACCAAATTATCCAGCTATTAGTGACGCGCGCAACCAAAGGCGTCGCTGCGGTCGTCATTCGCGATTGGCCACACCATTGCTTCCAGTATACTGATAATGCCAGCTCAATCGCCGGTTGATGGCGAGGCAAGTCCTGCCAGTCACAGCGAGGCAAATCCTCACTCCAACCGCTCATTCACACTGGAAGCGGATCCGCGTTCGCAAAGCGGTTGCGAACGCGGTTGTATAAAGATCCAGTACAATTTCACGCGCACTCGATGACATCAAGTGTGCGTGCAATTGTACTGAATCTTTATACAACCGCATTCGCAATAGCTTTGCGAACGCGGATCCGCTTCCAGTGTGAATGAGCGGTAAAACAAGCCTGCCCGTCTATTTACCCGCAAAACACTCAAAGAACCAATTTCTGCAATCTACGAAATCAGTTCAGCGAATGATGAGGCGGGACATCTGTTTAGACCTCAAAATTAAGTCTACGCTGTGGCATTGCGCAATGCAAGCATGACGATTTGCATTTCGTAATGCCGCAGCGCATACCACATTTTTAGGTATAAACGAATGTTCTGCCTCATCATTCGCTGAGCTTATTTCGTAGAACGCAGAGATTCGCTCCTGAGTGTTTTGCGGGTAAGTTGACTCGCAGGCATTTTTAGAGTGCTGGTTGTGACGTGACGAACGGAAACCACAAGAGGGTGCCACCGAAAACGTCTCGGCGCTGATACTCTGTTTCATCTTAAGCCCAGACGCGGGGGACGCTCGAGATGACAGGACCGATCAGACAGCATCGAAAGCGCGTATCATGGTGTTCGTCATGTTCAGCGCGTGTTCGATCATCGCTGAACCAATCATAAACAGAAATTGCCCAATGACTTGTGTTTTTGATGCTTCTATCTTGGTCCCACTAGCTCGTAGCGTCGGTTGCGTCTGGACTGAAGCTGAAACGAAGCATAGTTTGAGTACGTCACCGCTGTCGCCATGCGTCCTGGGAACTGTAGTCTTTCTACGCGAGCGGAGTACGAGACGACTCGAGCTGTCTTGTGCGGGGGCGCCTACCTCTTGTAAACTACAGTTATGGCCGCGTCACGCATGCGTGGAAAGCATAGTGCGCCGTCATAACTATTGGAGCGCAGAACGAAAGCTCATGTTGCAGAACCCAGTAATCCTGGATTCCATCTCCACCCCTGCCCGTTTCAGTCTAGATGAACACCCGTGAGCAATATAAAGGTGAACAGCCCAGTTCTTGTTTTTGACGCTCCTGCAAGTTTTGGAACAAGCTCTGTTCCAGAAGAGGGCTAGAACGCAAAGTTTAGACCCCAAGCTACGTATACCATTTGAGACGTTGAGAGTTAATATAGCTTTAGGGAGCCGTAAACCAGGCAAGAAACCAGGTAATATGTTTACCTTCATATTGCCGGCGGGCGAACATCATACCGGCATGAGGTCGTGCACCAGTACTGCCTGATGCAAGTTAAAAAAAAGTGGAATATTTCGCCCGCAATGTGCGAAGAGACGAAAGCGATAGCCGTAGCATAGTCGCGCAATTCGGGTGGAAGGATGTCGTTCCGTATTTGAGGACGGAGGTACGGCGTGGTTCATAGCCACGTCGTAACTGTCATAGTTGGCGTCGTGGATGCCACTGACGGCCGCCTCCAGTGCTCAGTTATCCGTGAAGTAAGTGGGTAAGCGCGGTGAGAGTTTCTATAACCATTCAACATTACTCGTAGCAACCTGTCAAAGGGCGATTTCGCGTAACGTGAGTAATGTTTGAAAACAAGTATTTTAAGGAGACGAGACGGAAGACCCTCCTTTCGAAGCGTCGTTGCTGGCGGTATGCCGTGGCTCCCCATCTCCGCGCTGCGCGTTTGACTCGCAAACCCAACTTTTCTGGCCTCGCGCCAACAGCGGAGAAAAGGGTTTTTCCGTAGCGGGGACGACAACGGACGAGGTCGAAATATCTGCAAAGCGTTGCCCCTAAAGCTATATCGCTTAAAACAGCCTGGCGGTCGTACTGTGCAGGCAACATTCCCCACCACAGTGGAGACAGCAGATACCCACTGGAGCTAACGTCCCCCTGTCTACAGATACACACACCACAGTTACTCTGTGTCTGCTCGACGTAATAAACTATTGTCTCGGGCAGCTGTGAATGAAGGCGTTCTAAACGCTATAAATGTAGAATGCCCCTTGCAAATACCAAAGAGAAAGCTAGCGTTTAACCACCTGTTTCTATTAGCTCTCTTACGATCCAAATCACTTTTGATCGTACTTTATAGTACTTCTATAGAGGGGACTACACAGCGAGTCTGTAAGCCCAGCAAATCCGATATGTTAGACAAGCCATGGAAATAAATATGTGGAGCAGTTTTTTGGAGGAAGGTTCGTATTTTTGAAGGATTGGGGAGCCCCAATATCCGCTCGTTTAACTTCAGGTATCGTCATAAAGGGCAGGTGTGTTTCGGATTTTAAGGAGCTCTGTGTTTTCTGAAGGAACAATTCTGCACACCTAAAGCCTAAATTTTTCTAGCAACTTCAGACGGGTTCGATATCAAAAGTTTGTAAACTTCCTTTAAGTGTATGTGTTTGTCTTCAGGCTGATTGGCTAACTCAAGTACCGCTTCCATGTTTTCGGTATAGACTCGGACATCCATTAACGCTATCGTTTACACAGATTTTGCATAAACAGACAGCGCAACACTGCTGCATTTTCAGAATGGCCTATGGATGCACTGCCCCGCGATACACTGGCTACGTTAATCGACAAGCAGAGGTCATAATTTATTTAGCTTACCCAACGATACCAGTTGTCTGTATCCTAGCCCAGAATGTTACTCTGTCTCCGTAGCCAAAGATGTCTACCCCTACTTGCCACTTGAACTACACTACAATTGAAATGTTGTCCAGATCACCTTTCTCGGTGGCTAACCAGGTTTAAGAAGGATATGTGATTGTTATGCGGGCGTGCCGTGTTACAGCGACTTAAGATACTACACAATCTGAGTTGGGCGTGAACCTTTATCGAACTGTGGAAAATGTAAAAAACGTTTTGCTACTCTTGGGTCCCGTTGAGAAACAAACCAGTTGTGCTTGCACTGAAACGAAAGTACACTGATTTCGGACCTAACTGGACGGCAATCCTCATACCCATAATCACCAATGGTTTGCCTGCTGCTTTCGAGGTTGAAGTTTTCTGTCCACCTCATGGCCACCAGCATGCACGCGCGCCTGACAGCCTGCATTCGGGCTGCTAAAGCCAAAGAAGACAATCAATGTATATTCTGCGCCTGCTTCAGAGAAAGATAAACTTATTAACAAAATATTTAACGGGAAAAATACCCTTTTTCTTGATGAGACGAACGCTCTCAGTACTTTCTGAATTTATATTACACTTAGGACCACTGAGAGTAATCATGACTGGTTTTCCCTCGAATCAATTCAACAAATCATTGGGGCGATGGGTATTATGCTTCAATGGCTTCGGGGATTTGGTTGCCATAAGCAATGGATTTGAAACCTCAATTGCAATAGACCCTTTTTAAAAGTCCGCGCCATCGCCTGTTCGCCATCGCTCGATCACGTTTTCTGAGCACCTATTGGAAAGTAAGGGTTGTGTCATCGTCCGGTGGGAACTCTGCTTAGCTCGGATTGGACACGAGTGCTGCTTCCGCGTTCGGCGAAGACTCGGATCCAATTACACGCTCATTTGTTCGCCCTTTTCGTTGGATAAACGAAGATTTGAAAAAGGACGAATGATCGGCTTTAAGAGTGTTTGCAGCGCAGTGCGCATTCAGGAGCTTCTGAGAGTGCCTTTCGCAACCGTTAACCTAAGTATCGATGGGGAGGGTCGGTCCATGAATCGACAGAAACAAATGGTACCAGTGCACCGCTCAGTAGGGAAAGTAGGAGCAGCCATTAGCACCCTGTTTAAAACATTGGTGCCCACAAAACGTAGAGGTCCATCTAAGGGGCAAAGCGCCTCGTTGCATATGACATTGAATAAAGCAGGTTTTTTTTTTTTTTTTTTGTGTGTGTGTTATCTCGAGACTGTTTTGAAGATTTAATGTTGCATCAAACTATAGAATAAATATATATTTTGCTTTTCTCGCTTTCGATTCGCGTGGCTTTTTTTTTTTTTTTTTTTTTTTTTTGTGTATAACGATTTTTTAGTATAAATGTATTTGGAGCATCTGCTTACCCACAAACCACTTTGGAGAGCCCAGCGCTGCAATTTGCGGAGAAAGCTCGACAGATGACAAGGCTTAAGGTATCCTTTGACATAAAAAAAAAAAAAACCTGTGCGCTCTGTGACGCTGAGCATGCCGTATCAGCATGACCAGCGTCAAAATGCAAAGTGTCTCTTTTTTCTTCTTCTATATTCACTGACAGCTAAAGGAACGCTGGGCGTGTCCTATTTTCTTCATGATTCGTGACTGGTTCTTAGACGTTCTTGTGGGCTGACGTCGTAATCTAATCGACTGCGGAGCGGTAATAAGATGCTCGGGATGGTGACTGTAGGTATGAACGCAATTTCAGCCTCGTCATTTACCGAGCCTTTTCCGTAGATCGGTGCAATTGGTTATCCTAAGTAGCCTACGGGGAAGCAGACGCTAGATATCACTAAGAGCGCTCAAATGCCCTTGGTGATTCGTGAGGTTCTTTTGCACAGAATGGGCGGCCCGATCCTCCTCCGAGGACAGCCGACGGCAGCATCGTGTACGCCAGCCTCGACCTGGGTCCGCCGACGGCGCACCCGACGAACGGCGTCCGCCCGAACCCGGCCGAACGTACCGAGTACGCCGAGCTCCAGTTCCAGCCGTCGTCGGACCACGCGTCGCTGTGAAGTGTGGTGCCTCCCACGGGCGGCAGCTGTTCGGGACTGCCGAGACAACGTCGGCAGCGAGAAGTCTTCGGGTGTACTTAGGGAAGGAGCCGAGACCGTGGCTGGAAGATGGCCGTCCATTCTCAAACCGTCTCGCCGACGTGGCCTGTGCCTGCCGATGAACTCGGACTCGTTAGTCTGCCCAGCGATCTCTGACAACGCACACGGACTACAAAGCGAACGTGCGTGAAGCTGGTGGTGCGTGACGTCGGTACGTGTCGGCGCATGCGTAGCGCAGCTTTCACCTGCAGCTGTCGTCTTCGTTTCGACCACGTCCCGTGAGAACGACGAACGAGAAACACCGTTCGCAATTGTTTTATCCACTTTTTAAGCGTTCTACTTTACTCTAGACCGTCCCGGATGGGCCGCAAAATAATGCTTTTGTAGGCAATTGAACGAGCGGTGCTTGCGTAGACCAAGGGCTCTAAGTCAGACAATCGGCGAGAAAAGTAGGCGAAAGCGCCGACCTTTCCGCCGAGTATACGACTTGGAGGCCCAGGTCACCGAACGACTGGTTTTGTTTTTGTCTGCAGACTAAACTTCGTTCATTTTCGTGCTAGGGGTACTAGGCTATTGGCAGCATGCACGCTTAGATACTGTTTCCCACAGGTTGTGTTCAACGTTGTGAGTACACGGCACCGTGGTCGCGTTTTTCGATGCGCTTTCTTTTGCAGTCATCTTCAAGCGAGACCTTGGTGCACGATGAGAGCGAAACTGCGGGACAATGCAAACGTGGGTCTCAAACTGCGACTTGCGGCTATGCTGTGTCATTTTGCGGTTATTTTCCTCAGTTGAAGGCATGCGGTGCAAAACTAACATGTTGAAGCGGGCTATTTACTGCGCACGATGTTTGAGATGAAAGATAAACTAATTTGGCCTGGGCCAGCGATTGCTTTTCACAAAATCCAGCGATTGGGTCACTTTTCTTGGCGCAGTACGTGTTCGCGCTGTTGCTTTTACTATGTTGTTTACTCCGTGGGGGACAGACTTTCAAGTTTCATTTTTTTTGCCCGACAAGAAATGGCAGGTTGACTTTTGCGTCTCCCGTATCTTCAGTGTGTAAGAATGATCGGTTGTTTATTTTTTATTGTGGAAGACGTTGTAGGACAAACTGCATTTCCAGTATCACGTTCCATGTGTCTTCAAATCTTATTTTTATTAATATCATTCTTTCTTATCTTTCAGGAAGTCGGTCCTTTCCTGTATATTTTTGTACGGTCAGAATTTTACTCTCTCGCGATGTTATTTCTTCCTGTATATGGTATACTATCTCATGTTTTGTTGTAGCGTCACGGTGAGAGAATTCCAGGATGTTCTTTTTCTTACTTTTAGTATACTTTTAGTGTACTAGCGTGTTGTGCTTTTAAAATTAATGGTTTTATAAGTGTGTATTTTTTTTAGCCGAACAATGATAGTCAGCTTCCGATGTGCCTACTTCCTTGACCACTGGAGAAACATTGGAGAAAGTGCTGGATGTAGAGAGGTTCATTTTTTGCGCTCTGCTCTACACACAGGTATTTCAGCTACGCAAAGACTATGAGAAGTCTTTTCCTGGCGAATGGAAGAAGAAACTAGTTTTAGGTTCTTTTCGGCCATTTGTAGAGAAGTGACCCATTCACTTGCCCTCTTCCGTCCGTCATTACAAAACGTAGCATGAGCGAGATAATACAGCGCACAGAACAAGGAGGAAGAGAAAAGGTCAGGAAGAACGAAAAAGCGCTGATAAAACAACGCTCTTTCGCCCTACCTGTCTTCTTTCTCCGTGTTCTGTGCGCTGTTTTATCATGTTAAGGTACCAACTGGCTCAAATCCCTACTTTACTTCCAGACGTAGGCACACGTTGATCGAGATCGATGCATTGATTGGGTGTGTGCAAGAGCTGGGTTACCCTTCGCAACGCACTGTCGTTCGATCGTTGCGTCGCGTTGTTATTACGTCGGAAAAACGTCTGACGTCTAATTGTGTGTGTAGAGTGCAGGTTGACTTGGTACAACACAAAACACTGAGCTTTGATTTTTTTTTTCTTGCTTTTCTTTCGTAGCTATAGGCTCTTCTAAAAAGACTACTGCAGGCAGATGTGGTAATGTCACACAGCGACATAGGTTGTAAAAAAGTATTCGTCGTGGCCAAGTTGTAAAATCTTCAATACAAAAAAAAATATAAACTTTTGTCTTTGCGTTACTATGTGTGGTGTGGTGTGCCTCTTATGGACAAAAACTAGACGCTTTTTATATTTTTATTGCCAAGAGAAACACTATACTTACCTGACCTGAAATTGTCTGATAGGAACGTGTTACTTCGGAGACTCTTAATCGCGGCGTGGCACGTTCTACCGTCTCGATATCTCAGGGGACTTTGGTGGATCTCTCCGCTATATCCTCCAATGCCTCACTAAGTGTCTACATACCAACGGAATGTTCAGAAACAGGCGCGTCTTTTAATGGGAGCAGTGGAAACTGTGCATGTGCAGAAATCGATTTATTGAAGAATGAGGCATGTGTGCGTACCCCGAGAACCAGAGTCAGTAGCTTGTCTTACGCCAACAAGACTCTAGATCTGCTATTCCACATACACACTACGTGGCACACATGCGTTGTACGAAATATCATATTACGTGTACTGTAACTCCCGTTCTATCCCTGATCCTTCCTCTCACAAGTCTCTCAAATATTTTTTCTTATTTTGGTGTTTGTTTACGATTTATGGATCAGTTTTCATGTTACGATATTATTTTTGGACGTGGTTGTTAGTTACGTCACCTTTGTCTTGTCTGCCGTAATTACTGTTTATGCGGGACCGTCAAGGCACGAGCCTCTTTCGTTAGAGTGCAACTCCCTTTGAAAACGAAACTAAAATAAAGGGCTGGTGTTTCTTTAGTGGCACGAGATATGATCACAGCCGTAATATTACGTCAAAGTGAAGCCGCGTACTCCACTAAAAGTTGATTTTAAAGATGGGACGAGCTGTTCTTCAGCGGGCAGCAAGCGGGTTAGCTTTTAGTCAAGGAACACTGGCGCAGCACCCTTGTGACGTGACAGCGCGGCTCTAGGGCTCATGACCAGTGTTGCCATCCGTCTAGCAGATAGTTTCGGTTTTGCCGTAGATGCCCGGAACCAAATTTTGAGCCGTCATATTTATAAAACTAGACACGTTATCGAAAAAAAATGTAATTTGGTAACACTGCTTTAGCTGAAAACAGTCGTAATCCTAAATTCAAAGATATTTACCGGAGTTGCCCTTTATTGTTCGAAATATTAAGTTTAGAAAAACTGCGCTACTCGAGATTGGTATGTGTACATGCCTCACAAAACCTTTATGCAAAAGATTGTTTGCCGGTCGTGAGTCCGCTTTTTTTACGTCACAATATTGCGCATGTGTTTGCGTGTTTGCCAAGGTGTCTGTACGTAAGTGTATAGGTTTGAATGTGAAGCACCGTAGCTCTAGAGTCGTTTAAGCCTGAAGTCAATCTTTAAACAGACACTCGAAGCAGTATGATTTTTGTTGATGTTTTTATTTTTCAGGGAGGCGTGAGCACAAATATCTGTAGTATTGTACTGCCGACATGGACTCCCAAGCACGTTTGTGTTCGTGTCAGTATGTGCGCATGTGTGCGTGTTTGTTGCCGTTGTCGAAGTTGATGATTGACTGATAAAGTGTCTTTATTTTGCCTTTGCGACTCACTCTCGCCATAAGGCATCAGTGAAGGCTATCATTGTTTATTGCTGCCATATTGCGTCGGTATATGCGTCACAAACGCATTTATTTCTAAGAAGCAGTACTTATCTGATTGCATTGCAGAAGGCACTTGTGTGTCGCGCAAGGAAGCAAGTCTACATCGAAGAATGCTATTGCTTGATGGTTGTGTGCTTGTCTGCACCAAGGACACCGTTTGACCCGGTAATAAAAGATTCTGGTTGTAGATGCATTACCAAATTTCTGGTGTGACTTTCTTTAGCCAGATCCATGTTGGCTGTCAATCTTTACAGAATAACCCTGCGGGTTCTGTGCAGATATATTTTTGTTCTTTAATGAAATGAAACTCTTTTTTTTTTCTCAACCTCTTTTTTTTTTATACAACTTTCTAATGAGGATATGGAGAATCCGCTGTGTATCATCAGGCCGTACCGTTGGATAATACCACCCCACGTGGTTGTGCTGTATTTATGTGATTGCTTGTTTCGTTGTCATCACTTCATGGCACAATTTGTTTATTTTTTTGTTATTATATAGTTACTCTCGTAAAAATGTAATTTTTCTTTGATCTGAAAACAGATTTATAAAAAAAATAATTAGTATCATATTGTCCGGTTTATGAAGTTTATTATATACTCTGTGCGGACTATCAGAGGTACGAATTATAGAAAATTTTGTTTTTATTGATCGCAATTTATGACGAGGCAAGATGGGTTTCGTGAATAACAGGGTACGTTAATGGTGTTTTGTGCGTGTTAAAAGTCTTTGTGTTATAATAAAGCAGGCATTTGTCAATATTTTTTTTCTTTACGCGCGTACTAGGCATTACGCACAGACTATTAACCGGGTGCAAAATATAGTCCCAAACGTATGGTATCTGCTTTGAAGAGGGATATATTCTAATGCGTTTATATAGTATATAAAGGAGGTTAGCTTTTTAATTCGAAGATATTAAAAGAGGAGAGTGAAAGTCACGCAAATGCCGACTTCACCATGCATTTAGCAGGCCCGGCGGTCAATCGACGAGGGGATAATCGTCAAGGCCAGTTTACTAATTAACAAAAATATTTTTCATTCACTTTTTAATAATCGGCTTTAGGGGTCATGTTGCAATTGCAGTATTGACGGCACTTTGAATTTGAGGCCAAACCTCTTCAAATAATTTACAAAAATATAATGTTATTTTAGATATTCATTGATAAATGTTCACGCTTTTTAGCCCGATTTAAGAATTGTGCGTAAAAAACGCGCCGCGAGCTCCACCCACAACGACGCTTAGAGTAGTCAAAGGGTCGTTTCAGAAACGTCATCGACTGCGTCGCCTGCGTACCCGGCAAAGACACGCTGCTGGGATAGTGACATGATTGAAGCGGCTACGTAACTCGGCGTCATTGTGGAGAGGGCTCGCAGCATGCTTTAGGCGCGCAATTTTTGAATCGCGTTAAGAAACATGAAAATTTATTATTTACTATTTAAACAAAACACTATATTTTTGCAAAGTCTTTTACTTTGTCTGGCATTTAATAGTAATTGCCGTCAATACTGAAATTGCAAAATGACCCCTAAAGCGTGTAATTAAAAACTTACCGAATTTTAGGTAATTAGCCGACTTCTAATATCCGCCGAGTCGGATAAAGACAGTGGAGACCAGAGCTCGTCTAACCCTCACCACCTATGTAAAATACCAACAAAAAATTTAATATCGCTTATTTTTATTGTATGATTTCGGGTTGTCGGAGTTTATTTTTCCTTAAATTCGGATGGTGTTTTGGGGATTTTAAATTTTAATAAAAATTCGGGGGTCATCAGAGCTTTCTTGTTTGAATTACACATTCTAAATTCATAAGAACTCATCCGTATCGAATTGTATGTCTGCAGGTGCATTTGCCTAAGAAGTAAAGAAGCTAGAGCTGCCCTTTGAAATCGACAGGTTCGTAGTTTTTCTTCGTATAAAAAGACAACCGGAAAAGTGGCTATTGTCGTGGCCCAGAAGTGCGACGTCCCGTTGTGCTGAACGAATCCTGAGGAGATAAACGGCGAAGTCCCTTTTGGGAATAGTCGAATATTTCAAATAAAAATTAAGTGGTCTTTCAGTACCACCGACCTCATGCTCTCAAGCATTTTTTTTTTTTTTTTCAATACCGTCTTTATTATTTTTTTTTTTTTTTGTTTTGTTATTGTGACCTCAACTCTGAATTTTTCGGATAAATCCGATTTGACGAAATATATACTGGCGAGTGTTCGGAGTTTTTCGTATTTCTTTGAAAACATGAAACCCTGTATGGTATACGTTAGTGGCGTGGATAAAGGACCACTCGGAATCAAAGGGCAAGTCCGTCTTGAGTGACATAAAAGGTAACCATACGAAAGACTACAGCGGCAGACAAGCGTCGGGAATATTGAGCGCGCACTTGAATCCCCCCCTCTCCCACCTTCAGACCTACAGAGATGAACGATGCAAATGCCGCGCCGATATCTCGCTCGCGAGTCCAGATGTTTCATCTTCGAGACGCTCCGAGGTGACGGTACGGGGTCCTGATGGAAGACATGGCGCGCTTCGGACGCAGAAGACAGACGAGCTACCGAGGAAAAAGGAAGAAAAAAAAAAAGACACTCAAACAAAGAGAAGGCGGCGTCAAGTGAAGAATATAATGCGTCTGTTGTCTCGCCCCAACTGGATAGCAGGAGCGGATTCTAATATGGATCCCCAAAAATACATTACGTCTGTCAGGCGAGCCCGCCAACCCACGCGCACTCCCGCTTAGGGTCTCGCCGTCGTGGAAGCGAACTGCGGCTAGTGTCACCAGCCGGTCGAAACCAATAGAGAGCCGGGGAGGAGTTCACGGGAACTTGTCGACCACGACGTTCCGAGACGAGTGAAACGAGGTCACGTGTCACCGTGCGGTGTTGCTGATTGGATCACGGGGCTCGTAGGGCTCGTGGCAGTTCAGGCTGATGTGACATGGAGTCGGGCACGGCCTGCCTGCTGGGCGCATCGATCCTGCGGCAACCAAGCGATGCATTTGTCTTGCAGCCGGAAAAAAAGGCCGGAAAAGAGAGAGGGTGTATCGCGACGTTGTTTGAATGCGTGACGTCTCGAAATGCGTTTCGGCCGCGACCGTTGCAACCGATCCGCCCGCTTTTGGGCCTGTTTAGCGTTTGCCGCAGAGGAGCGCCGTGGACGGGGGCGGCTAAGGGAAGAAATGCACGGGTGAAACGCCTCCCATTCGAATGCGAGGTTCTCGTACAGCCCCCCCCCCCCCCCGCCCCCCCCCCCCCCAAAAAAAATAAAAAAGGCCCGTCAAGTCACGTTTTCTTCTCTTTGTTTCTTTCTCTGTGGTCTTGTCTTGATGTTCGCCTCGCTCCACCGTGCATGCTGCGCGGGGAATAATCGTATGGCGTATTCACTGGGCGCCATATTTGTGGGTGCTGTCTAGAGCGCATGTTTAGAACGAGCCCACATTAATAGGTTGCCATGACCGGTTGGTTCTCTTGATGGCGTGGAATGCACGTTACAAAAGAACCGTGGAAGCTCGCCGTCAGCACGCGCTCAGCAGTCGTGCACACTACTATGGCCACCAGCGAATACTTCCAATACAAAAAGACGTAGCCCTTTCTTTTTTCGGGTTACGGTCGCCTTCTTGAAGTTTTTTTTCGTCGAACACCCGCCACATTAAACAGTAGTGTCCTGCAAATTAACAAAAGTGAACAAATACCTTTTCGAACAATAAAAAAAAAAGAAATTGGTAGAGAAAAAAAAAACGCTATCAAACTGCTTAGTCTGTCACATTCAGCTTCAACTTTATTGCGCAAATTCAGAGTAACGTTCCTCGTGAACGGAAAGTATGCTTCATCGCGAGAATTACACATGGTATGCAATGCTCATGCAATCGGCCGTACTTTCCCACAGCGGTAAGTACTCCTCGAATGTGTTATTTGGCGCCGCGGCCGTTGCCTGAAAACCCGAAAAGAGAACTCAATCGACAAAACAGCCGCCAAACTTCGGTCGAGGTCCGTACCCCGCGAGCGGACGACTAAGCGCGAGCGCCGACCGACAGCCGCTGCCATAACAGCTCACCCGGGCTAATGAGAATTCCGAGAGGCAACCGGGGCCCAGCAGCCCACGGGAAGGTAGGAGGAGAAGAGCGCGTGAGCACAGCACCCCGCTGTCACTGACGGGAGTCCCCGACGAAGCTCTACGCACCGTTCGCGCCTGAGATGACAGCGCTGTGCGAGCTACGGTCTCGCCGGAGCAATCAGCGGCCTCCCTTTCCTCCCCTGACTCTGCTCTTTTGCGCGTGTGCATGGGGAGTAGCGTGATCACGTGGCGAGGGATTGACATACGAGTCGTCCAACGAGCACGTAGAATTCCATCGCACTGTCAGCTTAGGCGTGAACGAAGAGCAGGTAATGATCGATGGGGAGCACACCTACGGGCTCCGGGCCACACACTTCATCACGGCGCGACCGGCGGCGACGGAGGCGGGACCGGGGTTGGACGGTCGTCGTCAGGACCTCGGGGCCCTTGCGGCGACGGGTCATCCCGGAACTGGGGGTTCCTGGGTACACACGCGTGCGACGACCGGGCTGCCGCTGCTCTGCCGCGTCGCTCGCCCCCCGCGCTAATGGAGATAATGGAGTCCCCGTGTAAATGGGCCCCAAACGGATGGCCCACCGCCGCTGAGTGACGTGCCTGAAGTGACCAGTGAACTCGATTTCCTCGAGATCGCTCGACGAAAAGCGCGCGAGCGCGCGCTTGCGGAATCTGTTCTTGTACGTGGTGGACGCGCATTACGGAAGTGATGTGGAGGTTGGAGCTGCTCGCAGACGTGGAGAGCTTTGCAAACTTTAAAATAAGCGGGTTAATTCCACGAGGGGCGTTCAAAAAGTTCTCGCCCTGACACGGAAGGCACGTCACTCAGCGGCGGTGTGTTCAAGAAGTCTCGCCCTGACACGAAACTTTATGTTAGCACATGGGCATTCGTTAATATTCGCGGCACCAAAAATGACGCATGCCTAAAACACGGATTTCTCGTGGCAGCCCTCAACACGTGGCAATCCGTGCAGTCGAGCTAAAACAGAAAAAAAGTGAAGGCATGTTTGGCGATTTAATATTTTCCTCGGAGGTGTCTAACTCCGGAAGGCATGATGGTGACGTAGGGATATGATTCGCCATCCTCCGTCACGGTGAAAAGGTGGGCCGAAGAATTTAATCGAGTATGGGAAAGCATAGTA